CTGTAAAATGGGATACTAACAGTACTTGGTGAGGGAGAGCTGTGGTGGGGTGGTTAAAGCACTCAGTCACTAAAGGAAACGTCTGAGGTTTAAAGCCTCAGGCAGCTGCGTGGTGGGACACAGACATACACTCTCTCCACTGACTGCTTCCCAGATCCCCTGTGAGTTCGCTCAGGTCAGGGGCCCAGCTTTCAGGCAGCTTCACGGGAGGAAAGATCTGGCCTCCGCCCCATAGAGATCACCTCTGGGCTCTACGCTGTCATCTCCGGGTTGCTAAGACTCAGGAAAAAATAGCAACAATAGCATTTAGCTGTTTTCAACGAATGGAAAAAGCAAGCAAACCCTGCCACTGCGGGTTCTGGCGCTGAGCAACCCGCTCAGAGCCGAGCCCCTACTTCCAAGGCTGTAAAACTCTACAGGAAGAGGTTGCCTCTGTCTCCCCCACAGAGCAGCCGGTGGGCTTGAAGCACCGACCTCTTGGTCAGCAGTCAAATGCCTTCGCCCAGGGCCACCAGTGAGCTTGGTCTCTGCATAAGGCGTTTTTCAGCCTTTTATACCAACTGTTCTGAAACCTCCTCCCGGCATGTGGCTACTAGGAGCTGCTGGCATGTCAGCTCTGACCCCCTAAGTTCAGGGGATGAGCTGCGCAGTGGGTTCTGGAGCCGCGGACTTCTGGAAGCAGTTTGCCAGGCCTTTCTATTGAAGAGCCCGTGTTCTTGTCTTGCTGTGGAGTGTGGAGTTGGAGCAGACTCATAGCTGGCGCTCCGGTGGGTTTTCAGAGGCAGTATATTGCACGGGAGGAGACTGCCCACCTTTCTCCTGTGGAGCCGCTGGAGGATTCAAACTGGGTACCTTTGGGTTGGCAGTGCAGCTCCTTACTGCGTAGCCCCCAGGGTTCCGGTGCCTTTCAGTCAGGAGGCAGCGCCTAACCATTTGCACCCCCAGTTGTGCTGATGAATGAAGACTAGTGCCCATCCTCATGAAGGGTACACTATGGATCGCTGGAGTAAAAAAAGAAAAAGCCAGTGACAGATTGAGTCTTTTCATTCCCATTAATTGCAGTAACAGGAATCCTATGCTTTTGACTGAAGCTGTCGCTTCTTCCTATTTGGTTGGGACAGACCATTACTATTGATTTAGGGGATGATTTTGCTTTTATTGTTTCACCAGGTAAAAAAATGTCCCATCGTAACATTTAATCACAAAGAAAGCCTTATTGTAGGCTTGGAGTCCCTGGGTGCTGCAAAAAACAAAAGAAGGGTACTGGGTCAATACCCACAGAGGTTCCCTGAAAGGAAGGTCCAGAGATGATCTTCTGAGAAGTTACAGCATGAAAACCTTTCGGAGCAGTTCTGCTTGGACACATGGGGTGCCCGTGGTAACAGTCTGGTGAGATATAGTTGGAGAAAGTGCAGCCTGGGTGTCCATGGAGGCAAGCGTGGTGAACGTCGTCTCACACACATCGGGCATGTTGTCAGCAGGCACCAGACCTTAGGAAAGACATCACGCTGGGAAAAGCAGAGGTCCAGCAAAAGAGAGGAAGACCCTTCACGAGATGAACTGGCACAACGGGGGCCACCGCGGGCTTGAGAACAGCAGAGACTGTGAGGATAGCACAGGACAGGCTGAAGTCCCAATCTGTTGTTGACAGGGCTGCCATGAGTTGGAGTCGGCTCGATGGCACCTAACAGTGACATCTGCAGACTAGCAGACTGGTCTCCTCTAATGTTTATAATAAGGAACAGATCAAGGGTCAGGAGAAGACTGCAACCCCAGACTGCAGCGGTGACTTTGCAAGAGACTCGGTTCCTCCTTGTTGTAGATCCAGGACAACCCATCTAATGGAAATGACATGGGGAACAATTTTCAGAATTACACCTGCTCCTTAACTAGGCAGGAGCTCTGGTGGCCTAGTGGTAAGAAGCTATGCTACAATCTCAAAGGCACGTAGTTCGAATCCACCAACTGCGCAATCTCCTCTTGTGCAACTTCTACCTCTGAAAACACCCTGGGGGATCAGCTAGGGGTCGGTTCTGACTTGACGGCACACAACCACAACCACTACTTAATTGGGGAAGGAAAGAAGCCAATCTAATACCAGAAATTGTCAGGTTTCCTGGAGTGGAAAGGCAGAAGGTCAGCTAAAGAGAGGAAGAACCTCAACCAGATGGATTGCCAGGGTGACTGCTGCAATGGACCCGAGAGGGTCCAGGACCATGAGGATGGACAGGCCAGGACAGGGTTCAGATCTGCTGTTCACAAGGCTGCTGTGAGTCATGCTTGACCGGACAGCACCTAACAACAACTCGCGTGGATTCGAGGAAGCCTGGTGGCACAGGGGTTAAGTGCGCGCCTGTCGCCAAAAGCCCGGTGGTTTGGACCTGCCTGCGAGAGAACAATGCGGCAGTCTGCTTGCACGGAGACTGCAGCTCGGTCACCCCGTGTTGTGCAGCAGTTCTACTCTGTCCTACAAGGTCCACAGGAGAGAACTCAGGGTTTGCTCACTCCCCAGAATCTCCCGGAAGACCACTTCATAGGACTGGCTGCGACGGCTTAGGCCACAGCTAGCATTTCCGAGAGAAGTGTCGCCTTGCTGTCAGAGGCTCTGACTCACAGCAAGCCCACATCCAACCCACGGCAAGGCTGCCCACTCCTGTGCCCTCCTCACAACGTTGCTATGTTTGTGCTCGTTGCTACGGTTGCTGTTCGAGTTCTTCCTCTTTCTGCTGACCCTCTTGTTAAGGTATTTTTAAATGGTGATTTCACCAAGTTTACAAACTGGTTTTCCATTCACTTAATCATACACAAGCAGTCATTTGAAGTGCCACTCTTGACCTCCCCCTAAACGGAACAAAGAAAGGGAAGGAAGAGTAAAATGTATTGAACAATTGTTCTGAAAAACTGATGGCCTTGAAATTCAACTTTCATAACTTTAGACCAAAAGAGCTAGATGGTGCCTGGCTGTCACTGAGCGTGGCTATCACTCTAAGAAGAATAGTAGCAGACCATCCTGGACAGAGTTGGGGGAACTGTGGAACAAAATGCAAAACCATAAAAAAAGGCTAAGATCAATGGTGCTGGGCTGTAGTTTCTGTGTATCGTCCAGTTGGAACTGACCCATAGCTGACCCTCTGGCTGGTTTTCAGAGGCAGCTAATGGTACAGAAGGAGACTGCCCATCCTTTTCCCAGAGAGCAGCTGATGGATTTGAACCGCACGCCTTTAGGATCGCAGCGTAGCTTCTTGCCACTAGACCACCAGAACTACTCTGGTGCTTTGTATAACCCCCAATACTTGGACCCTTAGTCATTCTTCCAACCTGGATAAAAGCTCATCTCTGCGTCTCAACTTTCAGATAAATAACAGGACAATCAGGTGAACAATAACACCAGGAAGCATTCACTCCTTAGATTAATCAACTGTATGATGTCAAAAGAGGATTTACGTAAGGCTAAAGCCCAGAAGACAGAAAGGAGGAAGAGAAGGAGCATTGATGTGAATGAGAAGGGCTGGAGTAGGGAGAGTGTGATTACGTGAAAGGCATTGGATTAGCAAGGAGTTGGAAGCAACCTAAATGCCCATCAACAAACGAATGGGTAGAGAAGCCGGGGTATATTCGCACAATGGAATACTACGCTGCATTGAAAAACAAGGAACTCATGCAATATTATTCAAAATGGGTGACCCTGGAGGACATTATGCTGAGTGAGGTATCTCAGTCACAAAGGGACAAATGCTATATGGTGCCACTGTTGTAGAATGAGGCTGGCATCGGGGTGGGGGCAAGACTGAGAAAAACTGGATGAAATATGTTTACAGCATTGAAGTCTATGGGGGAGAGGATAGTTTAAAAGTATTATATTTTAGGGCATTATGTTTATCGTAGGAGTACGCAATGAGGGTTGCAGAGTGGATTATATTTGGGGTTGGGGGTGGGATTGGGGGAGGTGGGGGGATTGTGTACCAATGAGGGAGTTTTTCTTTTGCTTTTCAAGGAGAGAAGCAAAGGGGGGGGGGTCGGCGGGGAGAAGAGGGCAAAAATGAATGAATGGAATTCCAAAATCTCTGCAGATGTTCACTGAAATGAAAAATAAATAAATTAAAATGCAAAAAAAAAGTGTATGGATGATGGAATAAAAAACCCAACATATTTTGTAAATGTTCATTCAAATGAAACATCATCTAATGTAAGGAAAGACTAAAATCACTTGTAAACTTTCACTGAGATGAAAAGCCCTTTTTCCTTTTTAAAAAGTCCTCTTCTGGCTGCGTTATGTCACTCTGGTGGCTTGGCCCGTAGGGAGTTGTGCTAACGCAAAAGGTGGCACGTCTGGTGCTTCGACTTCGAGGGAGAAACATGACACTTTCCTCCCGTGCAATTGGCAGCAGGGTCTCGGTTCCGATCTCCTGCGGAGTCCGGGGTTATTTCAGCACAGCGTCCTCCGGGTTCGTCCATGGGTGTGGATGCGCCCGGACAGGGGGGGCCTGGAAGTCCTTTCTTTATCCATTTATTGATTCTTTATCCTTTGTTGATCGCTATGTGGGCGGCTTCCTTCACTTCGCGGTTGTAAAGCGTGGCCCTGGTTTAAACAGAGGATGTGAACCGGCTGGGTCGGTTCTGTTAACACGCCATCAGGACCCTCCGGGGACCACGCAGTGTAAGCGGCACAGACGCACGTGGCCGGGGCGCCGCTGGCCGCTGGCCGGAGGGTGGGCGGGACGGTGACCGAGCGCGGACAGCGAGGACGCCGCAGAGCGGTGGGAACGAGCCCCGGCCGCACACCCCCCCCACGGGTCCCAGAACTCACCGCGCCGCGGGGCCACGCCCACGCCTAGCAACACTCTCCATGGCAACCGCGGCGTGGCAACGGCGCTTCCAAGACGCGCAGCGCGGCGGGAGTGTGCGTCATCGTGGCGCGCCGGAAGTCGCGCTCTCGTCGGCGTCGACCGCGGAAGTGCCGGCAGTAGGGTGTTGGTGGCTGCTCCGAGTGCCAGCTTACGATGGGTTGCGACGGAGGAACTATTCCCAAGAGGCACGAACTGGTGAAAGGGCCCAAGAAGGTTGAGAAGGTCAGAGACATGGGTCCAGCGGGGCGGCGGGGGTCGGTGGGGTGGCAGACGCCCTCGGGGCGCGACGCGAGGTAGGAAGGGGGGACCCAGGAGTCCACTAGCGGCTGCGCCCGCTTGTTCCCGTTCGACTGGGCGACTCAGCGACCCCGTGAACAGATCTGAGCCTTGTCCTATTCCTTGCCATCCTCACGATCTGCCGTGCTCAAGCCCATTGTTGCGGTCTCTCTATGTCTGTCTCGTTAAACATCGTCCCCTCTTTCTCTGAACATCTGCTTTTCCAGTTATGATATCTTTTTCCCAAGAACTGACACCTTTTGACAACTTTCGCAGAGTGCATGAGATGTAGGTTTACCATCTTTGCTTCAGTTTGCACTTCCTCCAGGACAGACTTCTTTCGTTATTTCGCAGTCCAAGAGATAGTACTCTTCTGCAACACCGCAATCCAAAGGCATTGATTCTTCAGTCTTCCTTGTTAACTCTGTCCAACTTTCAGATGAGTAGGAAGCAATTGAAGGTACCATGACTTGGATCGGGCAGAACTTAGTCTTCAAATTGGCATCCCTGATCCTTAGCACTTTAACGAAGTTCTTGACAGCCTGTTTTCTCAGTGCAGCATGTCTTTTGATTTTTTTTTTAACTTCTACGATTGGCAGCATCATGATAGATGGTAAAGAGATTGAGATTGTTCACTGCTTCAGTTTGCTTGGCTCCACAGTCAACACTCTTGGCACCAGCAGCCAGGAAATTAAAAGATGAATTGCACTGGGGAAGTCTATTATCAGAGACCTTTCCAAGGTACTGAGGAGCAACAATGTCAGTCTGGAGACTAAGGTGCACCTGATACAGGCCATGGTCTTTGCCATTACTTACTATGCATCAGAAAGCTGGACAGTTACTGGGGATGAGAGAAGGAGAGTTGTTGCCTTTGAGCTCTGGTGCTGGAGAAGAGTATTGAATATACCGTGGACTGCTAGGATAACAAACAGTTTCATCCTGGAGAGGGTGAAGCTGGGCTGCTCCTTGGAGGCAAGGATTTTGAAGCTCTGTCATACTTTTGGACATGTTGCAAGGCGGGATCGATCCTTGGAGAGGGACGTCATGCTTGGGAGGGTGGAGGGACAGCACAGGAGAGGAAGACCCTTGGTGAGATGGATTGAATCCATCACTGGGGTAATAGGGTAGATGTGTCAGAGACAATAAGATTGGCAAAACGTAGAGGAAGGTTTAGGGCTGTTGTACATAGGGTCGCTATGAGTTGCAGGCGACTCGACAGCACATAACAGCAACAACAACAACAGCAACTACCAAGGGATTGTGGAGCTAAAGATGAAAATAATAACAATAACAGTATATAGGCAGAGTACCGTTGCTCCATAGAGTTTCCAAGGCTATGAATTTTAATAGAAGCAGAATGCAGAATGCTTCGTCTTTTTCCCACAGAATGGCTGGTGCGTTCATACTCGTGACCTTGCAGTTACCAGCTGAACACTTAACCACCAGAACAAGATAAAGAGTTAAGAAAAGACTCTAGGGGAATAAAGGTCTGTAAGCGGGGAGAGGAAACAAAATTTTAAATCTTTGCATAAGGGTTGTTTATTGCCTTTCTCCCTTTTTCCGGCTCTCCCAAGGATTTGAGTTAGTAAAGATCTGCAGGTCAGGAGCCAGAAAGAGAGTCCTCTGGCTTGTTGCTGGCCTCTCTCTCTAGGCTCCGCCATGTCCCTCTTTTGCAGTAGCGGTGTGACTTTTTTTTTTTATTTTTTAATGTATGAGAGTCATTTAAACTGTCAAAGTAGGAATTGAATAGGCTATCAGATAAAGTTGTTGATAGATATTGTATCGAAGACCTACCTGCTGGACGGTCAGCTGTAAGTTTGTTCTTACTTAACAGTACACAGCAACAACAGTTCCAGCAGTTGCATCAAACAGAAGCAGGTGGATTTGAACTGCATGCCTTTTGGATTGCAGCATGGCTTCTTACAACTCCATCATTAGTGCTCTTTAAGTCAAGTTATCACATGAGAACCACGGAAGGTCTCCTGTCAGCATTTTCACCATGTGGATAGAGCCCCCTAGATATGCCCCCTACTGAACCCTTTGTTGCATTGATGGCTTTATAAAGCGTTATGTAGACTTCTGGTAGCCTAGTGGTAAGGAGCTGCAGTGCCAGTCCACAGCTCATCGTTCACAACAGCCAACTCCACAGAGAAAGGTGGGCAATTTAAAGCCTCTAAAAACCCACTGGAGGGTCCGCCATGAGTCGGCTCTGACTCAGTAGCACATAACAATGATGTAGTCTTGTAAGGAGCCCTGGTGTTGGAGAATGTACAGTGTTAGGCTGCTAACTGAAAGGTTGGCATTCAGATCTGCCAGCCGCTCCGTGGGAGAAAAATGGGCAGTTTTGTCCCATGAAGATTAGTAGCCCCAGAAACCTGAGTTAGAATTGACTTTGCAGCCGTGGGTTTTGTTTGGTTTATAGTCTTGTGCCAAGCTTAAGAAACCCTGCTTGTGCTGTGGTTAAAACACTGGGGGCCACTAACTGAGAGATCAGTGGTTCAAACCCACCAGCTGTTCCACAGTGGGAAGATGTGGCACTCAGCTTCTGTAAAGAGTGTTGTTGTGTGCTGTTGCGTAAGAACTGACGCATCTCCAGAAGGTCTGCAGATACAGTAAATTTTACAGGAAGTGATGGCCTGTCTTTCTCCCAAGGTGCAGCTGGTGGATTCGAACCATATGCCTTTGTGTTAGCAGCAATAAATCCTTACTACTAAGCCACCAGAGCTCTCTGTAGAGTTGACAGCCTTGGGAGAGAAAGCCCGCTCTGTTCTCCAGTCACTCTGAGTCTGTATGGACTCCATGGCAGCTTTATTTCTGGGGGATTTTTGGTGTCAGTTTTGTGTTTGAGTTTTGGTGGGCTTTTGTTGTTGTTGTTATTTTTATGTGTATCATCATAATTCTTAGTCTAACTTCTGCTACAACTTTTGAGCCCTTCTTTTTGTTAGAATTTAATCTTGACACCCACCTCCCACCCCCATGTGACCTTCTGAGTTACTGTTAAAATATGTGTTAATATGTATATGTAATTTGCACAGAAAATTGAATGATTCAATACAACCATGTCTTTGCACTTGTCACTGTTCCAACAGGCCTTTGCTTGACATACTATTGATTATTTAGAATTGTAAATTTGCTTATCTCTGGTTTAAAAACAAAAATCACTACCGTATGGATTATGAATAAATCTTTTTCTGTAGAACTGTTATTAGTCTTGTGCTTTTCGGAGATGGAAAGTAACTAACGGGACTTTTCTTTTTTTCTTAGGTTGACAAAGATGCAGAGTTAGTGGCCCAGTGGAACTACTGCACTCTAAGTCAGGAAATATTGAGGCGGCCGATAGTTGCCTGTGAGCTTGGCAGGTAGGAGCCCTTTGGTCGGATGGAGGTCATTATGTGAGTGTGAAGGAAATGTGTAAATGGAGTTTTGATTCACCAAGTAGGAATCATGCCAGGCAAACCTGTGAGGCCTGGGTTAGCGCCCCTTGTCTCTGAACGTCTCTGCAGCTCTCCGCGGGTTTGACTTGGTCCCCGGGCTGGAGAGGCAGTGCCATCCATAGCTAAGTTCCCAACCTGCACGTGAAGCCAAGACAGGAGCTGAGGGGAGTCTGAGGGAGCCCATGTCCTGGCCGTGTCCTGCCCGACGGGGTGGCTGCTCGCAGCTCAGACAATCGTGGCTGCTTAGGCTGTGAGCCTGGTGTTTCTACAGCTTCTAGTTTGGTTTGATTCTCAAGAAAAATTGACCGTTTACATGAAATCTTTTTATTGTCATTGTGATTTGGAGCACAGTTTACAGAACAAGTAGGTTTTCCGTTCAGCAGTCCATGTGCATTTTGTCTTTGGACGTTGATTTTGACCTTTGCCTTGGTCTTGCCCATGCTGAAAGCTCGTCCAGGTCACGGCTTTCCTGGGACTCTCCGTTTGCTGCCTTTGGTGTTAATGGACTGCCTGCTGTGTGTGCTCTGTGACAGTTGAGCCAGACTGAAGTTTACTTTCCTTATTATTATGGTAAAAATACACTCACCAAAGCATTCACCAAGGCACCAGTATCTTTATTTGTAATTCCGTGGCATTGGTCACATTTGTTGTGATGTGTCAGTGTTGTCATTGTCTTTTCCCAGAATATTAATGGAAAGGCAAAGCCCCCCAACAGACTCTTCCCCTCGGCACCCCTTCCACCTCGTAGCTGTAGTAGTCGTTGGTGCTGTATGTTTGCTGATTTCCTGTGCGTGTGACCACAGTGTTTGTCTTTCCGTGACTGATGAACTTGCTCAGCGTGGTGTTCTCAGGGCCTGTCCGGGTTGTGGCCTCAGGACCTCACGTCTTTTTACCATGGGGTAACACACTGCCGTGTGTAGACCACGTTTTGCGTGTCCGTCACCTGGGGATAGACATTTGCATGGTTTCCGCCTTTTGACCATGATGGACAGTCTGCAGGGGACACCGGTGTCCAGGTTCCCATTTGCATTTCTGCTTTCCCATCTTCTGGCTGTAGACCTGGGATTGGGATTGCTGGGTTGTCTGGTGGGTCAGTGTTCAGCTCGCCGAGGGGCTTCCTGACTGCAGTCTCCCAGGAGCTGTGTCACTTCTGTCCCTACCAATGATGCGTGAGCGCCGGGTGGCACGGAGTCCGTCCTGACTCAGGGCGTCTCTGTCGTCACAGGTGGATCGATGGCATTGGAGTGCTTTGCCCCAGCCACTCCTGGCTTCTCGTGCTGGTTTATTCGAGGGTAGCTTGTGGCCACTTTGCTTTGACAAGTTTGTCATTTCAGGCTCTATAACAAAGATGCCGTCATTGAGTTTCTGCTGGACAAGTCTTCCGACAAGGCCCTTGTGAAGGCAGCGTCTCACATTAAAAGCATCAAGGTAAGCGGGGTGATTCATAGACGCTCCAGGGAGCTCCGTGGTTGCGGCGTGTGTTGTGAGAACTTGGGTTTGTTGAGGCCAGATCCGTAGTCCTGGAGTCCCGGTCCTGCCCAGCCTCCTAATGACGGGAAGAGTCCTGAAATTCCAAAGCAGAAGTTTCTCCAGGTGGCAGATTGTTTTGAAACTTTGCTGTGCACATGGTGAAAGGCATTTTTTTTCCCTCACTGAGTCAGCCGCTCAAGTTTTTCTTTGGAAGACACTTTGGTAGAAGTAGAGGATTTAGAAGTACTTGTCATTAGGTGCCGCGTGGGCTGCCGCGAGGGTTCCCAGGGCTGTGATAAGTGGGGCAAAGCACCAGGTTTTATCCTCAGGAACAGCTGATGGCTCTGAGCCGCACGCCTTTTGGTTCACTGCTGAGCATTTAAGCCCTGTCTGTGTGCTGGCGGTCAGGCTCCCTCTGCTGTGGACTCAGCGCCCAGTCCTCGCTGACTCACCAGTGCGTTCTTGAGGCTGTGAATCACAAGGGGCGAGCTGCCTGTCTCTCCTGCAGAGCTGCTAGTGGATCCAAACCGCCAGAGCAGCGCCACACTGAGTTAACAGAGCTGTGTTCCTGCGCAGTGGAGCTCTGGTGGCCTAGTGGCGAGAAGCTGTGCTGCAAACCCAAAGGCAGGCAGTTCGTATCCACCAGCTGCTCTGCAGGACAAGGTGGACAGTCTCCTATGCAGCTAACTGATCCTGAAAACCCTCTGGAGAGTTGGGTGTGAGGCGGCGACTCGACAGCACACAGCCAAACATGTTAACACGGTCTACAGACTCTGCCGCGAGAAGCTCTGCCTTTAGAATAGATCACTGTGAAAGCGGAGTTTCTCTGCTGATGAGAAGGTCAGGTTGGTAATTAAGATCCTTTCATGAAAGTGGAAAAACATTTTTGGCAAGTGAAGTTTGTTGAGGGGACAAAGTCTAGTCCCTGGGAAAACAGCAGGAAGGGTTCGCGCTGGGATGGTGGGGAAGCCTCACCGACTCCCAGTCACACCTGGCTGTGTGGGACCAGAGCTCAGGTGTGCAGATGCTGGTCAAAAAGTAGGTGGGTTTTCTTTTTTAAAAAAATAAACCCAACCAAACTCCCATCAGGACTTCTGCTTCACTTCTGGGGTCGATTACAGTGTACAGGAAATATTGATTATGGACAAATGAGTAATTCTGAATTGTAGCTAAGAGCCACCTTACAGAAACAGTCATGCTGATTTTCGTTACCTTTGTCCCCAAGAAGGGACTTCCTTTCTGAAAGCCCAGTGGTAGCATGAGTGATCTTACCGCAAAAGTGTGATTAACACTGAAATGTGTTCATACACTTCTGCTCTTAGCAGGACACAACCCCTCCTCACTTCTGTGCGGTGACGTCTGTAACACACTCAAGCACACAGGTTGGCAGCTGAGACTCACCCAGTGGCCCCATGAGAGTCAGACCCGGCGATCTATTCCTATAAGGATTGTGGCGGCCCTACTGTGAGAGCGAGTGTTCTCTGTCCCCAGGGGCAACTCTGAATTGGAGTCAGTGTAACAATATAAAGCATGTAACAGTATAAAGCCAGGGCTCAAATGCTGAAGTAGAGCTTTGAAATCAAATACCTTCTAAACCAGAATTCTTTGAAACCTAAATAGGTACACTTTGCATTGTGGCAGTGTTTCCCGGCTCCTATCCTGCCAGGGCCTCAGTAGGTCTTGGTCTGTAAGTTGCACTGTCCTTCCCACTGTCTGGACCTGCCTCTGAGAATCATCAGGGAGAGTGTGTTCCCTTAAAGGTGGAGCTGATGCCAAGCTGTCTCTTAATGAGGCTGCTTTCAATATCAGAAGTCACAGCTAAAAAAGCAATCTATTACTACAGTAGAAATTGCCTAATGTATTTGTTAGTTGAGGGATTTAAAAAAACAAAACACTGGGGTTTTTAAAATCAAAATGTGTAGCTTCTAATCTATAGAGTCATACTTGACTTGGTCGCACCTAACAGCAACAATAATTTATATTTCTATCAATGAATTGTTGTTGTTTAACAAGCAATTAATTGGTGACCAGAATAAAGGGAGCCCTGGTGCCTTAGTGGTACGGAGTTAAGCGGTCAGCCCAAAGGCAGGCAGTTCAAATCCATCAACTCTTCGTTGGGAGAAAGATGGGCACTGTCCGCCTGGCAGTTTGCAGCCTCTGAAAGCCTGCTGATAGGTCAGCTCTGAGTCAGTTCCAAGCCAAGGGCAGTGAGTTCTTTGAGTGAAAATGAAAGAAACGGAACCAGAATATGTGCTTGCATGGGAAGGGATTAGAATGACATCTTCTCTGTTGACAACGGTGATTATTAAGGCAAAGAATGACTCATTGATTGATATTTTTCCCCCCACAGAATGTGACGGAACTAAAGCTTTCTGATAATCCCGCCTGGGAAGGGGACAAAGGAAACACCAAAGGTGACAAACACGATGACCTCCAGCGGGCGCGCTTCATCTGCCCGGTCGTGGGCCTGGAGATGAACGGGCGGCACAGGTCAGCTGCGGGCAAGGGACAGATGCCGTGGGGTCTGGTCCAGCAGCTGTGGGTGGTTAGGATTTACAAAGTGGCTTAGCAAACAGACGGGCTCTATGGTGTGCTCTCTTAGTGTCCTAATGCCCAAGAGGACAGAGTGCTGGATCCAAGAGTGCCCTTCTGTCCACTGGTGAGATGACTCTTGAGCGCACTCAACTCTGTGCTCGGGGTCTGTTCTCGAAGCCTGAAGACCCAGACTCGGGCGGCTTTGGGCAGCCTCACACATGGTGCCGAGGAGACCTCAGGGGTTACTGGGCCATGTTTTCCTGTGGGAGAGGAAGCAAAGGGCTGACAGTGCCCATCAAGCCAGCCACATTTCCTTATGACTGTAAGCATTCCAGGATGGGAAGCTTGTGTGAGTCATGGCAACTGAGAGCCCTGTCCATGGTGCTGATGGCTGGCCTTACCTCACACTTGACCTGGCCTCTGGGTGGAGCCTCAGAGTCTTACCTGGGGGCTGCTCAGCAGATGGAAGTGGCCTGTGCATTTCCCCTTTAATCAAATAGAACATGGAAGGTGTGAGTAGACGCCTTTCTGTAGACTATCACTCAGCAAAAGCTTCGAGCACCTTCTCTCACCCTTTCAGGCAGATGAGAAATGTCTTTAATACCTGGTAGTCCAGACGGCCCTCTGGAATTGTGTGTGTAAGACACTGCTCACTAAAAGGTAGCATTTTTAAACGATTTTCATTTCCGTTAAAGAGGTCACAGGAGCAGGGAACATCTCAACTAAGAATAAGCTTTTGTTGGCTATAAATAATCACGTGTCACCTTGAGCATTCTGACACGTTTGTGTAAATTGTAATATAAACCCATTGTCGTCAAGTTTGCTTCAGACTTAAAAGTGTCTTTCCAAGGTTGTGACCTTTATAGAAGCAGTCCGCCACATCTCTGTCCCGTGGATCTAAGCCAGCCTTCCACTTAACAGCCACGAGCTAACCACTGTGCCACCAGCACGCCCTCCCAGTGATTTAGCAGTTGGTACATGTGGCCAGCTACACCCGGATACACTGACCTCCACGCTCTTAATGGAACGACAGATTAGTGAAATGATGAGAAGTCGAATTTAAGAACAAAGCCTTTTTGCTTTTAAAGATCGCATTCGTCTGCAACATTACCTGGGAGTGAATCATTTAGGACCCTTCAACACCAGTGTTTCGGTAAAGCAGGAACTCTTCTGGGGAACCAGATTCACTCTAATTAGCCCTGTCCCACTTCTCTCTTCTGGAACACCAGGGTGACCCCAAAAGAGGAATTTAACAGAAACAACCTCAGCTGCGGGTCTTGAGCAGAGGTCACCTGTAACTTCCTCCCTGCATATGGTTGCTCGGTACCATTGTGGCTTCTCGTGTTTTCTCTTTCCATATCTTTGCTAATCTCGCCCCTCTCCTCTTCCCAGCTAAATACGCTTTACCTCTTTTGACTTTGTCCTCCTTTTAGAAATAGACCTTTGGCACTAGGAAATCAAATTTTGGAGGCAAGACTAGTGAGACGTCATCCCTCACATTTGGACATGTTTGCAACAGGGGCCAGTCTGTGGAGAAGAATATGCTTGAAAAGGGTAGGGTCAGCGAAGGAGAGGAAGACCCTCAGCGTGGTGGATGGACACAGGGATTGTAAGAGTGGGCTTCCGTACAGAGACGATTGTGAAGATGGCCTAGACCAGGGTTTCCATCTGTTGTACATAGGGTTGCTGTCAGCTCAGCAGCAGTTAAGTCAGAAGGTTGTATAACTCTATAAAAGTAGAGATTGCTTATATAATAAATGACCTAGATTGTTGTTTTAATCAATACAACAATATTTATTACGTTGTATAGAATAAATACACTCGATTATTGTAGTAAGACAATATCTGTTGTAGTGTATATCATAAGTACACTCGATTGTTGTAGTAAGACAATAATATCTATTATAGTGTATATCATAAATACACTCGATTATTGTATTAATCAGTGCAGTAATACCGATTATAATGCACATAACAAATACACCAGATTGTGGTGCCATCAAGTCCGTCCTCATTTGTAGCAGCCCAGCGGGTAACAGGAAACGCAGGCTGGCCGTCTTTCTGATTGTTGTCATTGTTTGAGCCCGCTGTGGTCATCCCTCCCCTGAGAGTCTCTGTCCTTTTCACCAGCCTTCTACTTTGTGCATGATGTCCTTCCCCAGGGGTCGGGCCCTCCTGATGACCCGTCCAGACGACGGGAGGTAGAATCTCACCTCCTTAGACAGATCTGGTCCCCCTCTGGCAGTCTGTGGTTTAGTGGGGGGTTCTTCACCAACCACGCTTCACCTTAGCATGAAATGAGCAGATCAGCTCTTCTCTTCGACATGCCATCGGGTTGTTCAGTCTGCCTGCGTATGAGGCAGCTGGAAGCACCGTGGCTCGGGGTAATGTGCACCTTAGTCTTCAAAGAGACCTTGATTTTAAAACACCGTTATTTGCAAAACTACTTGTACTTAGTAAGCATCTTTAAATAGATTTGTTTTGGTAGTAAATATTTAATGGATATAATTCCATACTGCGCTCTTAGTTGGATTTTTGGAAGGTCCTTCTGCAACCACTATTTAAAAAAAAAAAAAAGCTGAACCAGTTACCGCCTGGGTTCCAGCTGTCAGCGGCCCTGCAGGACAGATGACACGTCCCCAGGCTGTAACCTTTGTGGGAGTAGATGGCCACATCTTTTATCCTCGGGTGTCAGGTAGATTCAGACCACTGGCCTTTCCATTTTAAAAAGCTTTAACTACTGTGTCACCAGGGCCCCTTGCGCCTGCTGTAACCCACCCATCACCATCCTGTAGCATCTAACTTCTAGTGACCAAGGGCCTTCCAGGGGTGCAAATCTTTACAGGAGGAAACTGCTCGTATTTCTCCCCTTCCTTGATGGATGGTGGGTTCAAACTGCTCGACTTCTGGTTAGAAGCCAGATATGCTGTACGTTGTCACCAGGGCCCCTTTGCATCCATTCATTATATCTGAGAATAATACTTTTTTTAAAAAATACTGATGATTTTGCTTTTCCTTTAATGGAATAAAAGGTAATGATTTTGAACTTTGTGGTTCTGGGCTTGTGTAATCCGAACCAGTGTTTGTTGATCGAATGTGTAACCTCTGATTTCTGAATTGCTCACGAGCTGTCCTCTGGTCTGACTCTAGGTTTTGCTTCCTGCGGGGCTGTGGCTGTGTTTTCTCTGAACGGGCCCTGAAGGAGATAAAAGCGGAAGTCTGCCACACGGTGAGTCCCCCTCAGGAGCCGTGGGAACTGGTGGGTTCAGATCACTGATTGCGTCTACAGTCAGCTTCTCTGCACACAGCCTGCCCTGGCTGCTGGTGCACGGAGCCAGCGCCGGACAGCCTCCTCCTCATGATGCTGCCCAGGGCTCTCCAGAGGGTCCCCACCCACCCAGGCTCTCCGGAGGTTCTCTGCCCACCCAGGGCTCTCCGGAGGGTCCCTGACCAACCCTGTGACTTAGCTCTCCAGTTGTGAATTCCTGAACCCTCCTGCCAGCTCCCTCTGTCCCCGAACGCCTGGTTCTCTCGCTGAGCTCGTGATAAGGGATTCTGTTTATTTCTCCTGTAGTTTGGGTGCAGATTTCTAGAGCAGGCTCGTTTTCCAACCACCAGCTGGCATGCTGCTCTGGGCGGGGACCCTGGTCACTGTCCTTGATGTAACAGCACTTTTCTCTTCCTTCCTGGTTATCCGTTTGTCCTTCCTTCGAAGCTTCATTCCAAGCACAGGCTGCCCTCTGGTCTAGAGTGGTTAACTGCACTTAAGAGTATGTTCCTCCCCGGTGCTGTTGGCCGCTTCACAGGCCTGTCTGTTGTTTGGCTAAAATTATTCCCCAGGGTGGATTCGGTTCCAGGCTCCTGTGGACCAGTGTATCTGATCAGTATGGTTTTGGATGTGGAGACGGAGCTGCATCTTTATGTGTGCGTCCTCACTGGACTGACCTGAGGGTGGGGAGCCCCCCTCCGTCTCTCCAGCGTGTCCAGCGGCGGGGTGCCTTGCTGGTGGACTTCTCCCCGCTGAGGAGAGTTGCATGTTTCTAGTTTGGAGCGGACTCTGGAGTCCTCTAACTGCTGAGCTCTTTAAGAAGAGGAGGGGATTCAGAGAGAGATGCTCTTGGGGCCAGGGTAGATCGCCATCCGATGGGGTTTATCCGTCTGCCGTACAAAGACAGTGCAGAGGTGTCCGAGGGGAAGGAGGTGAGGTGGTGCATTCCTTTCCCTCTGGAAAACTGCCCTCTGGCAGGAATCCTAGCTCAGGTGAACATTCCATTCAGTGATGTGTTGGAGGCCGGCTGCCAAGTGCATGGTGGCAGAGTAGTGGAGTTAAGGGCCTTGCTCTGGTCTGTGCTGATGAGAAGAGGCTTGTGTGGGAGGAAGTGTGTGTCGTGGGCCTTGACTGCAGTGTGTAATGCTCAGTGGTCACACTTTCTGGACTGGGACTGGGCTGCCGGTGATGGGAGTACAGCCCGGGGCTGCTCCATGGACAGGCAGGACATGTCCTTCCAGGACTCCGTGGAGCAGGAGAGGGCCCTTCTCTCAATTCTCCATTGCTCTTGAAACAGAGACAAGGGTGTGATTTTACCGCAATAGGACATGATTCCCTCGCAGTGTAGAGGACTGGAAGTCCAGGTTCAGCTGCTGGCTCTCGTCTCCTGTGAACAGCGTGAGTCCCGTGTCCCATGGAGCCCTTGCTTGTCTTGGCTTCAGTTTCCCTTGGAGCTAGGAGATCCTCAGCATATGGGCCCTGGGTCAGAGGGCATGCTCAACCCTGGCCTTCCTTCTTGGTGGTAGGCAGTCCCTCAGATCTCTGCTCACTTGTGAATCTCAGAAAGCAGGAAAATGGTCCAGGGGCAGGAATGTGTCACCTGCAAAGGACAAGCCCCGAAAGGACAGACAGGAGCCACACCAGCAGGCCTGAGATGGAAGCTGTGGGTGATGTGTTCACATGTGGGCGTTTACACACAGTGTGTGGGCTGCTGGGTATATGCAGGCGTGTGTGTGTGTGTGATTTATACACAGTGCTTGGGGGGCTGGGTAGGTGTTAAACCCCTAACAGGAACAGGCAGGAAGTTTGGATGAACAGGTGTGAATACAGCATCCCTAACTTTTCAGACACTTCCTTTGTTCCACACGGATGTTACCAAAGACCTACTTCAGCACCTGTTCTCATTAACCAAAGGAGGGTTTCCTTTTAGCATTCAGGTTGTGTGTTAAAGCAGTGACCTCGGCGTGGGCATTGGGTCATCAGACGCTCCCCACTCTGGTACCCACGCTCAGGCGTCTCAGCATCCAGCCACAGAGCCCACAGCTGTGTCGCTGTGAGCACCGTTCACGTTTGCATGTGCGCACACACACGTACGTGTTACTTGCTATGATTTGGTGGGTTACAGTTTGGGTCTGAAACACTCAAAAAAATTTGTCCTGTGTGAGTCACTGATAATCGCTTTTTCCATTTATGCTGTTTATGTTGTTGTTTGTTGTTATGTGTCGTCGAGTCGTTTGCAATGCATGCTGCTTATAACAGGTGAAATCTATAGGGAGGTGGTTGCTGAAGCTGAAATGTGTTATGGTGGCAGGATGGCCCAGCTCAATGGTTCTTAAACTCAGCTATACATTAGAATCGCCACTTGTTTGCATTACCTGCTGCAGACTCCGGGGTCAGAGTCTGCCGGGCAGGTCAGACCCCACAATGCCTGATGTCTCAGGGTCGCCAGATAGTTCTAACACATGGCCAGATGTGGACAGTCCCGCTTTCCACCCCTGGAACCCTAATGACATCTGTCTCTTAGCTGGCGTGTTGTCGCCCTCCTTTGGGTTGACTGACCATAAATGCCCCGAGCAGTTGTGTCATAGATGAGTAACCACGTGCTCTGATATGCGCTGGAGCAGCGCCCTCTGCAGAGTCCAGCCTGGAGCTTGAGTGTATTTCCTGGCATCACAGCCGTGCCGGGGAGCCCAGAGATGGGTTTGCAGGGCCTTGGGAGAGTGTAGTGAAAGCTGGTGACCCTGTGACGTTCGGGAGGAGCAGGAGGCTGCGGAGAGCCTGCAGCTACATGCAGGCCTCACAGGTGGTGGACAGAACCCCAGACACCCCACCTCAGCGGAGGCCCTGTGCGTGTCCACAAGCCCTGCAGCTAAAACAGGATATTGCTGTCGTTAGGTGCCAGCCAGTCGGTTCCAGTGCATAATGAGCCACTGTGAGCAGAAGGACACCGTGCCTGACCCTGCGTCTCTTCAGAGTCACGCCCGCTGTGGCAGCAGCCCCATCAGTCCATGTCACCCAGGGTCTTCCTCTCTTGCACTGACCCCCGGCTGTCCCCAGCATGATAGTTTTGTCTAGAGTCTGGTCCCTCCTGAGAACGTGCCTGAAGCCCCACTGGCCTGGCTTCTGAGGAACGTATGGCTATCCTTGCTCCGTGACAGAATTGTTGGTTCCTCTGGCCGCCCGTGGGGTGTTCAGTGTTCCTCACTAGCACGCCCACCAGAGGCACCTGCCCTGCAGTCCGCTCTCCACAAATAAGTGACGAGTTGACGTATGTGTCAGGGTTTAAGCTCCTGTTTGTTTTGAACGTAAGGTTCTCTGAGCTTTAGTGGTGCTGAACATGGGTAGTTCTTGCCCTGTGGGGCACGTTAGTTATATGTTATCGCTGGTAACACGTGTTACAATGTTACAATAATATGTTTACGTGTATGTGCTGTGTTGAGCCGAGCCTGTTAAGCGTGGATATGGAGGTTGTCCTTTGCCAGTTACAGCCCAGGATGTTTCTGAAGGACTTGCTTTTTGAAATATAAACTACAAGGGGTGCTGTTCCCAGCTATCCACTGAGCAACTTGAGAATTTAACCTAAGCATCCAGTTCCAAATAGCAGCTACTGACCTGTTAGAGAAATAGGGAAAATCGCCTATTCCTTCGGATAAAGACCATTATCAAACACAGATGCCCCCCTCCCCAAATTTCCAAGTGAATTTAAGATGAACTAGAGTCTCACTGGGAGAAAGATGAGTCATCTGCTCCCATAAAATCCCCACCCTCGAAGTATCATCCCAGACTGTCCTCTGTCGCAGTGGGTCGCCGAGAGCCAGAGTGGGCCCAGCAGCACTGCACCTGCCGGGCTGGGTGAAGGCTGACCCCTTTTCTCTCAGCCTCTCCGTGCAGTTGTCTGTGATACATCTCATTATGGTCTCGTGCTTACTTAGCGGGAGAAGACTGACCTGCAGTGTTTCCAGCCTTTGGAGACCAAGATTGTTGTTATAAAGAGGCTGATCCTGCGACAGGTGGCTGGCTTGCTCGGTTTGAGTAAACAGGATCCAGAGAGATGGAGTTGCTAGGCTTGTTTGTTTTCAACATAAACAAACCAGGAACCAGAAAAATAGACTTGTATTCCCCACTGTATTTTTTTTCCCTTCTTGTAACGAGAAGAAACACATTAGAGTAATTAGCAGTTACAGGGAAATGATGTTGATATTGTGCTTGCTACTCCATTGTAAACCCACACCTGCAACACTGGCCTCCCCTGAGGCCTTTCGGGGCTGGTGTTGGTTTAGGTTGGTTGGTTTTATTCTAGGGGGGAGCCAGACAGAAGTGCACGTTTTCACAGGATCCCTGGTCCACGCGGTGCAGTCGGGAGGCCATGTTCTGGGTCAGTAGTGGTGCCATCTCCCGCTGTTGACCCCACGCCTCTTGGATGGGCTTTGTAGACAGGGGAGTGGGTGTTAAGGGGAGGGGAAGGTAGACGTGACAGAAAGGCTTAGGATGGTGTCGCCTTTTCACAGATGAGGAAATGGAGGTGCAGGAAAGTCTGCCCTCAGGCAGCTGTTCTGCATTCTCCCCTGGGGGTGCAGCGTGAACTGGGGGAGGTTGGCGAGAGGGGGTTTATACAGCGGGTTGTGCCAGCTTGTTCTTGGTTCCAGGCCTGGGCCGTCTGAGGGACTGGCTTTCTAGCACACTTGTGCCTCCTGGAATCTCACCATCTACAGCACAAGTGGCCTTAAAGGCTAGGCAACCAAACTAGGGAACCAGATGGCTGACATGGCGTGCCCGCAGGCAGCTTCCACTCCCAGGCACCGTGGACGCAGGCTTTCCCTTACTGGACCATCACCTTTGAGGGGCAGCCCGGTGCGGCACACGCCGACTTCCATGTGGTTAAGTCTTGTCCTTTCCTGGTGCTGGAATGCAGGGAGAGTGATGTGGGCAGAGCACACAGGCTGGACTAGCAGGCGAGGCCCCCCGGCCTCCACCCTCGCTGTGCATTGTGAGCACGAGGCCTGGCACTCCTGAGACTCCAGCACACGGGGGTGCCTGCCGCTCTGGCTCCCTTCCCGAGCCCTCCCCACACTCCGTCCACCCCACACTGTCACACCCAGCTCACAGCATTTGTTTCACGGTGCAGCTCACTAGGGACTGTGCCTCCAGGGCCTTACCAGTTATACAGGCCTTTGACATGAGATTCGCCTTCTGATTCCAGCTTGAACCAGGATCCCAGTTCGAGATCCAGGAAGAGTGTGGTTTTCAACTACTGTTTGTGGGAGAGCCAGGCCCCAGCACGAGTCACGTGCCACCCACACAGTGGGGCTCCTCCCCCATATGCACTTCCTTCCCACCTCTGTCCCACGGCCGAGGGTCAGCAGGGAGCTCCCAGACCTCGGCTGCCTCCTGTCAGTGACTCAGTCGCGTGTTGAAGTGGCTGTGCTGTTGGAAGTGCCACGGTGGCTCCACGGGCCCCTCTGCCTGCTGCAGCGCGCGCAGCCTGTGTCGCCGCTCTAGGCACGTCACCACCAGGGGGTCTGTGGAGAACTCGAATTCACCGGCAAACAGAGCAGGCGAGCGGACGAGCCACGGCAGGTCACCCAGTCCGTACACACAGACATCATGGACGTAATGGCCTGCAAAGCAAACACAAACCTTCAGCTGTCCATTTTCCCAGCAGCATTTGTCCAAGCTGGACACCTGCTGTCCCTGTGCCTTCTGAGACGACACCTTGCTTCATCCCTGACCCATGACCGAGCGTGTCCCAGCCCCCTGAGAGCCCATGGGAGAGAACTGCCCCTCAGGGTTTCCAGGGTGGAAACTTTGGCCGAAGCACATTGCCACGTCGTTCTCCAGCAGGGCAGCTGGTGGATTCGAACAGCCACCCTTTCTGTTACAGTCAGCTGCTCAGTCCACAGTGCCACCAGGGCTCCTTCTCTTTGCTGCCTCCTGTGGTTGCCATCCAGTCATCTGGATGTGAACAGCACGTGGACACCTGCCCGTCCTGTGCCCCCTGCAGCATCCACCACGTTCGGGCCCCTCGTTGCTGCCCGTGTGCCTCCTTTAAACTCTTCCCCACAGCGGTGACTGAGGCCTCTGGTCAGTAGCAAAGCCTCTTCCCTGGGTTCACTTTTCTGTTGGTTTTGGGTTTCAGATGGGCAGAGAAATTGCCGTTTTTCTGTTAGTGAGTTTTTTTACGTGTGTACTAGCTTGTGATGTTGTGTAGTTGGAAATGACCCGTAGCTGACCCTGCAGCGGGTTTTCAGAGGCAGTGATTACAGATTACAGATTTCTGTGATTACACAGGAGGAGATTGTCCGGATTTGAACCACATGCCTGTGGGGTTGCAGCACAGCTTCTTAGCACTAGGCCACCAGTGTGCCCCGTGCGATGGCGAGTACTGGTGAATCCTGCAGGGTCGGCATCTGGCTGTGAGTACCGGGAGCTGAAGGGCCTCTTGTTCGTGGTGTCAGATCTGAAGCCTGAGTCCCACGTTAGCCTGACCAGTTCTTTCCAGCTCTGTCATGGCCATGGAAGCAAAACTGAGACAGACTTAGATTTCTTAAATGTGGCAAATTGGGACAGAACTGCACCAAGAGAAATTTGGGGGCAGAGCCCCGCTAGAAAGCTCCGTCTCCCTCCCGGAGAACGGGTAGTGTAGCTGGCACGTAGCAGACAGATCTCTGGCCTGTCCGATTTTGAACACACTAGAATCAGGTGCTCCCACGAAGATGGTGGCCAGTTGTGTAGCTGCGAATGTGTCTGTCCACAGCCCAGGCAGCAGGCTGTCCCTGAAAGGGCTCCTGCAAGGGCTCAGTGCACCCCTTCCCTGGCGCTGTTACTTGGAATTCAGGCTTCCCGTCACCCAGATAGTGAGAAAAGGCGTTTCTGCCTGTCTAGGCACCTGTTGGCGTTGTTTGTTATGGTAGCAGCGTGTCTCTCTTTCCAGGGCTCTGGCTGGTAATTTTCACTTTCCAGTTATCATTCTGAATCTGTCACGTTGTGAACGTCAGGGTCTGTTCCCATTTCACTTCATCACCCTGGCTGAACCTGGTCTGTGAGCTTTGGGGATGCCCTTAGCCATGGGCCATTGCCAAGGACTGGGCTGGTCTCCACACAGCATCTCATCCCTCCCTGACTGGGTGCCGGCTGAGCGTTTGCTGCAGGGCATTCCGGTGGGACTTGCCCTCACAGCTCATGCTGGCTGGGACCCCTAGAGGTGAGTGCAGGACAGTACTTCTGTGTTGGGCATGGGGTTTGACCGCTTGACCCCTAGTACACACCTTCAGTCCTCAAGCCGCACCAGAGGAGCTGGGCACGCTCTGTGACCTCTGTGTGAGGAAAGGGAGACCACACCATCTGTACTTCCTGTGGAAGCCCTAGTGGGTAGGGAATCACGCTGCTCGCCCAGCCTCTGATGGTTCCTGTCTACCAGTGGCTCCTCAGGAGAAGGATGCGGTGTCTCCTGTGTCATTTACAGCCTCTGATACCCACTGGAGTCAGTCCTGACTCCACGGCAGTGAGTGAGCAAGATTTCCCACGGCGACCCTTGTGTGACCAAGTGCACCTTGTCACCTTCCTGCAGCGCCACTGGTGCGTGAGATGTTTAGGTTCCTGGTCAAGCGCTTGGCTGTTTGTGCCACTCTGGGGCCACCTCTCCCTTCTGCACAGCCTTCACCCAGCTTCTAACGAAATGGTTTCCTATGACGGGGCTGGAGCTGCACAGCCTGCCTGCTGTTGTGTACAAGGGAGAGGGGGTGACTGCCTCTGTGCAGAGCAGCCCCCATGGCAGAGGAAGCTGTCCAGGTGGCAGCAGCCAGCGTGGTTGACAGCTGTCCCCAAGAGCCTTTCTGAGTTCACAGTGTAGGATCTCTGTGGAGCGACAGCAAGTCACAGAGCTTGAATTTCTGGGAAATTCAGACCAAAAAACGCGTGTGTGTCAATCCACGCGACAAGGGACACGATTTCAGGATCGGGCTGGTGCCGTTTGGACGTAAGAGCAGTTTCCCTGTGTGATCTGTCCGGAGGGCGGTGGGTCAGCAGCCACCACCTGTGCTGGTGGAGGCAGGGCCACCAGGTGCTGAGGCCTCTCTCAGCTACTTCCTGTGTCACTTCCTGTGTCACTTCCTGTGTCACTTCCCGGCATTTACCTCTCTGAGCTGGGGGTTCCTCACCTGTAAAGTGTGAATAGCTGGAGCCTCATGACGCATCAGAACTCAGAAGGTCCTCACCACTGTCGCCATACATCGGCCACGTGTGGACCTGACATACTGGAGATGGGACTGTGGTACGGTTACTGTCAGGACAGCTTGCACAGCAGAGACAGCGAAAGAACTTTCCAGAATATTGCCTATTACAGAATATTGCTTTCGATTTACGGTACCTCAGGTTTTTTTTTTTCCCAACATTATTTTAACCTGTTTTTTAAAAACTTTGTCAACCACAAAAGTTCCGAGTCACAGTACCTCCAGCAGTGACCTTGGACTTGAGGGCCACCCACACACCCACGGCTGGGCCTGCAGGCTCAGCTTCACTGTTGTCCCCAGTCTGTGTATGACAGCACTGCTTTGTAAAGACAGGACGCTTGCCAGCCAGCGCGTGGACTTTACCCTTCCTGCTGTGTGAATGGCCCCGCTGGACCACGTCTGCCCTTGACTGCCCCAGCCCCTGAGCGGGACCCGTGGGGCAGGCAAGGCCGGAGCACAGCGGCCTCAGTCTCTGCCATGGTAGTTGTTGAGCTCCTACTTGTCCACAGCCTGTTTACTTTGGGGCGCTCTTTGACACAGCTTGAAAACCAGGGCACCCCCGCTTAGTTTGCATATCCATTATGTTCAAACCTGAGACCATAACTCCATCCAGTGCCCTGACAAGTAGGTCAGGTCAACATGCCCTGCATCTATCTCCCTGTGGTCCTCTGCTGGTGGGTCACGGCCGCAGAGAGCCGGGCGTGGCGGGGCAGGGACCCTGGATGGTGGGCTCTGTGAGACTCCTAAGCCCATCTCCTCCTGTACAGTTTACTGCCTCTGAAAGGCTGCTGGCGCATGAGCTGTGGCTCAGTGGCACAGCACAACCACAGTGTTGCAGATTGCTGTTTTTAGCCACGGTGTGGTGGCCCCTGGCCTCTTAGTGCTAGCCGGGAACCGAGTCCTCCACAGCAGGAGTGTTGTGGGTGATTTGGATTTACCTTTGCACCCTCCGTGAGCAGCTCCCTCCTGGTGTTTCCGTTTGACAGCACGGATGTTTCCTTCCCAGCTGGTGTCTGGGGCACCTCCTGGGGCATCTGAGGGGAAAGAGAACAGGTAGACGAGGTGCTCTCCCGCCAGGACTTCACCCTGAAGGTGGGGGCTCACAGTCACGTGTCTTTAGACCTCTTTTCTCATCTCTTTCTCCGTCTCCTGAATTAGCTTCTATTTGTAAAGTGTTCTTCATGCTGAGGTGTTTTTGGGGGTGTTTTCTGTGTCATTTCCTTCTGAGGTGGTTTGTTTGGATATTGGATTATCAATGGATATGGGATATTGTGCACATGTCTTAAACAAATCTCTGCCAGGCTTGTTGTCTGGGCTGTTTTCTGCTCTTACTGGTCTGTGCTTCAAGTATGACACCACGTTCCCTCTAGGAGCCAGTCACCCCACACAAGAGAAAATACTTGATTAAGCCCCTCAGACTTCTCTCAGCCAGTATCAGAGGTCCTGTCTGAGGGTTCGTTGCCACTGCAGTCACTAACTAGTTCTGCTCTGTACCATCTCTACTCTTAAAGAACCCCTGTAGAGTGGGTAATCCTAGCAGGCATCTGTTGAGATTTGAAATAAGTGAAGAACTTTCCAAGAGTATGTTCCTGGAATTTTCAGAAGGCTTTGTTTGAAGAGCTACAGCCTGTCATCAAGTCTTTATGGTGCGCACACAGGCCTCTGTGCTGACTTCAGCCTGCCGGTGGGCCAGGAGCTTCAGGGCCCTCCTGAAGGGAACGCTCTGCCAAATGCAGAAGCCGACCAAAACCCCACCTCATTGCCATCAAGTCAGAACCAACTCAGGCTGGAGATCACAAGAGGAAGATTGTCCGTCTCTCCTGCAACCAGTGGATTTGAACAGCCTGTCTTTGGGCTGGCAGTGTACCTCCTTGCCCGCTAGGCTACCAGAGCATTTGAAAAAGCCTTAGACAAAAAGCTGAAGTCAAAAGATACTAGTTAAAATGGAAGCTCCCTTTGTTCTGGAAGGGGTGATGAAAAGTGGATGAGAGGAGATGGGGACGCGTGAGGGGCCGCGGGGAAGGAGCTGCTCTGCTGGGAACATGGCCGCTCATTGTCCTCAAACAAAATGTGTATAATGTTCAGCAAGGAACTACTTTGCTCTGTCAACTTTCACCCAAATGACAAGAAAATCTTAAAAACAGTCGAAAGCCCCATTGCCCAGACCCCGTGCCCATGTACCCAAAGGGCTCTTACCTGCCACACGGTTCAGGGTGACCCAGTAGAGCTGCTCCGGGCTCGGGGTGTCCCTGCACCACTCAAGCAGGTCCTTTGCCCGGACGTCGCTCAGGACAAACTCCACAAACTTCCTTGTCAGGACATAGTAAGCGCTTCCAAAGTAGACCTTGAGGTTATGCGGTGCTTCCTGCTTGAACGTCTTCTTTGGAGATTCAGGGGTGTTTGTTCCCAGGGTGGATCTGGAGTGGCTGTGATTGGCCTTGAGATTGCTACTGGGTGGCTGAACCCCTCCAGGAATGAGATTCTTCCCGTCCCACCGGCTTCGGAGGAAGCGGACAATCTCCCTGTTGGTTTTGAGGGGGAAATCCTGCCCCCCGAGACTAATGACATGGTCCCACGGGAACCTGGAATGGACCAGAGCTTTCATACAGTCGACATCAGCCTGGAGTCTCGGGAAGCCGGAGGCAGCCACGTCTGACAGAGTGAAGACGTTCTCCAGGCAGCTGGCCAGGGTTTGCACGGCAGCCTTGAGCCTCTTGGGGGCCCGTTCGTCCACCTGGATGCAGTACACATTCTGGGGCGCGTAAATGGCCCTGAGCTGGCGCACGGACAAGGCCAGCTCCCTGCGCACGGTGACCACGTAGGCCAGGGAGCAGTTGGCCTCTTCTGCGGACAGTGGTCTGGTGATGAAGTGCAAGCCCCGGACCAGCTGGGAGCAGTTGCCTGGGCTGCGCAAGACAGCGAGGGTCTCGGAGCCGTGAGGGGGTTTACAGAACCTGGCAATCTGGGGGGCTGCCCCTTTGCCTTCAAATAAGGCTGAGCACAACTCCTCAGGGTAGAAGCCGCACTCCACCACAGCCGGGTAGGTGGGCTCCTCCTCCGGGTCCTCGGGGCCTGGGTTCCGTAAATAGAGGAAAACGGCGATGCCCAGGAGGGCGCCCAGCACAAGTCCAGGCTTGGTGGCCCGCAGCTGGGTCATGTCCTGTGCTCCCTGCGCTCCTCAGAACCAGAGTCTGCAGTGTTCCCCTCAGCTTCCTGCACAAACAGCAAAGGGAGTTAGTGGTAACAACAGCCTCTGTGAGCGTACATATGTGTTACTTACGTCAAGATGCAGGCTTCCAACTTGGGTGGCTTCTGAGTTCACACTGAGCTGGACTCACGTGGCCACCACTCAGCTTTCTGTCACCTTCTCAGCCGAGCCTAAGCAGAGCGTGTGGAGACACCCCTGTTCTGAGTTAGAGATTGTTCTGCTGTTGCTTTAACCTACATCTAGCTGGTAATGTGAGAATTCCCAGGAGAGTAAGCACCTCGGAGCCTGGCAGCTTTGGAAATAGTGGGGAGCACCTTATCAGGCCTTTGCATTTCCTGTGCTCAGTTCTGGGTGAGTGACCTTGGTTCCTGCAGTGAGAGGTCCCCTGTCTTAGTCCAAATGAAATGACGTTTATTAAACAGACAAGTTCGCATCACTGAGTAGAGCACTTTCCTGTGCTTGGAGACTATGCCGCCTGTAGAAGTGTGCGCTTCCTGATTTCTGAGCCATTTATTCTTTCTGTCCACGGAAAGCGTATTTCCAGTGCCCTTGGAAAGGTTAGGTGGAGTCTCAGTCCTGTCAGGACTCCCTCCCTGCCGCCCTGGCCATTTTTCCCGTGTGAGGGCATTTTAAGAGGGTTCTTGTCTGTTTTCTTCTCTTACATGATCTTCCCAAGTCTTAAATGTTATACTTATCCTTTGGCGCTTCCAGCTGAGTTCAGAAGCCCCTGCTGGTGCCGCAACAGAAAGGCCTGGTGATCTGCTACGTGAATGCAGCCAGGAAAGGCCTGTGAGCAGCTCCTGAACGTGGTCTCGGGAGCCTTCACATGCAGCCCTTTTAAGGGGTGACTTTGTAAAAACGTGTGTGTGTTAGTGTGTGTGAATGTAGCATGTCATATAGACTGAAATAGCTTCCAAGCAGTGGATACTGTTTTTAACATTATAAATGCAGTTTACTGAAGGCTTCTGACTTTCAAAAGATGTTATAGATTATTTTGTAACAGAAATACTTAGTAATGTTACAGTGTTTTACACTGCCCTCCACCCTCTATGACCCTGATGTGTCAATGTGATAATGGTTACCCTCAATGTGATAATGGTTACCCATCGTGGACAGTGTTTGGTGGCGCTCCCCAATTAAAACAAGCTTGGAAGCAGGAGTGGCATCCACTTCCATAATAGCTTGCCTCTGGAAACAATGTGAACCTGGAGAAAAGACGAAAGTTATACCTGTGTCCAGGACTTTGGTTCATAGAGCTATGAGTCACCTCCAACTTGATGGCACTTAACAACAACAAACAATAGAAATTACCTCTCAGAATGGAACTTGGTTTGCATCTTGTGTTTTTGTACAAGCATAAATCCTCTTAAGGAGTTGTTGGCAGTGAACGTGATTTCTAACCATTTTTCTTTCTAAATCTCCCTGCAGCCTTCTCTCCCCACCCCCAGGAACCCTGCAGTGTGGGCTTGGTGCTATGTGCCACCACTGGGCCACCTGGCCCGTTTGGTTTGTTGGAAAGACTTTGTGGGCAGGAGTTAGCTAGATCGCTTACAAGCCAACTCCTTTTGTTGATTATTTTATACATTATTTTGCAAAGGATAATTCCTATGGGTGATGGATGGATATCTTTAAAGTTGGACACAAAGGATTTCATTTCATGTCCTATTTTACTACTTTTTTAGATCATTAGCACAAATCTAAGCAAAAGAATGTATTTAATACCTAAAAGAAAGTTTTCTGAATTGTACTTAAAATATATTGAAAGGGAGCTCTTGTGGTCTAGTGGCAAGAAGCTGTGTTGTGGTCCTGAAAGGAGCATGGTTCAAATCCATCAGATGCTCTGCTGGAGAAGGAGAGGCAATCTCTTCTTGTGCCTGTCAGATCTCAGTCAACGGTACACAACAAGGAAAAAAATATATTGGTACTCATTATTGCATTTTTCCCTAAAGGAAACCTGATAATTTATAGGAGGTCTGACCGTATAGTGGTCAAGCCCTGGGAGGGTAGAGACCAGAGCACCACGGGAGAAAGGCTTGGCATTCTCCTCCCGTAAAGAGAGGAGTCACACCGAGCAGGCTCCAGGCAGGAGTCCACCAGCCTGGCCAGGCAGCCCAGGCTGAGGATGCTGGAGTCTTCACACCTGCTGCTTCTTGTCACTGGATGCTGTCAGGTAGATTCTGACTAATGACCCGGTGTAACAGTGCGCCTGCCCACAGGTCTTGGCAGTCTTCGTGGGGCAGTAAGCTTGCCCTTAAAAAGTTACAGTGAGAATTGTCTGTTGTGTTTGTTGTCTCTAGGCTCAGTGATGTCCACCCCACCCTTGTTTGATGAACTGTCTGAGGTTATGTTGTTAGGTACTATCCAGTCAACTACATCTCATAGCGACGCTAGGAACAACAGTCAGAATCTTGTCCTGTCCTCGCCGTCCTCCCCATCTCTGTCCTGCTCCAAGCCAGGGTCACGGTCACTGTCAGTCCCTCTGCAGAGACTCTTCCTCTCTTCCTCTGCCCTTCCACCCCACCCCGCTGATGGCTTTTTCCAAGGACTGGCCCTCCCGACAGCTACCCCACAGCGTGTGAGAGCAGGTTCACCCTTTTGGCCTCTCGGGAGCGGCACTCTGAAAGGTTGATCCCACTCACAGTGACCCTGTAGGGCAGAGTGGACCTGCCCAGTGGCCCAAGGCTGCCCCACCTGTGGAAGCAGACTGCTGTCTTTGTCCAGTAGAGTGGCTGAGGAGTTTGAACTTTACTCTTTGGTGCAGCTGAGCACCCTCACTGCTGTGCCACCTGCCCGACCCCCTGCCCGTGAGTTGCTCCCAACTCTTAGTGGGCCGACGGTCAGCCCGAGCTGGCCCTTTGGGTGTCCGGGATTTCCAAGGCACCCCATCTTCCTAGAAGCAGCGGCCTCAGTCTTTCTCCTTTGGAGCAGCTCATGGGTTCAGACTGCTGACTTTTTGTTTAGCCCCCGAGTACTAAACCACTGGGCCCCTGGGGGTCCCCTAAGATGCATGTGTGTTGCAGGACACCAATTCTGAAGATGCAGAGAAATATCTTTTTAGCCATTATCATTTAAAGAGGTAAATGGCTTAAGGATAGCCACTCAAAACAACACAACAACAACAAACTCTCTCTTATTGACTCCAGATGAGAATCTAGGATTTGAACCTGACCTTGAGGCAAACTTAGGTGTTCATCTCTCCCGAGGGGAAGTGGCAACTGGTGGGACTTGAAGTCCCCTCTGAAAAGGTCGCCCTTCTCTTTGGCTCAGGCAGGCATGAGCACTGATAGCCCCGCACTGGAGGAAAGGACCTTTCCGTTCCAAACGGGCACCGGGCTGGCCTGTCCCCGAGTCATTGTCGCCCCCCCCCCCCCCGTGGTCACAGTGACACTCACCCGGGCTGGCTGAGATCCGTGGGCGGGCGTCTGGCCAGGACCACCCGGCCCAGGGCGTCCATCTACCGCCTCTCTCTCGGCTGAGTTCCGGGGCCAGGCTTGCTCGGCAGGTTTTGTCACCTTGATGTCCCTGGAGGATTTGTCCTTGTTGACTGTGGCCTGGGGTGCGGAGCTAGTGCCAGTTCCCGCAGCCCTCCGGTCAGGAGCTTCCAGAGCCCTAGTTCTTGAAATGCCCTCCGAGGTGGGAGGCAGAATTCACCGAGCTTATCCTTTTTCGTTAAAGGAATGAAGCCCTTTTAAAGGCTTGTTTACCTCATAGGTGGCATTCAGAGAAATCCAGGTATGTTTGGACCTGCTTCACCTGAGCAGAGCAACCTGAGCCCTTTCTGTGTCTGTGGCGCCACCAAGAGGCGAGGGTGTACCACTGCACGTTGCCAAGGCAACTCCTTCCACTCGACTCCTGTTACTCTGTTGCGGATGCATCCTCTCCGCCATCTTCCCTGTTCTGATTGTGGAGATTCTGTCACATGCTGTCCTCTCTTTAGGCTTCACACAAACAGGTCTGTCATCTTCACCACAATTTAAAAAGTGACAAGAAAATTAATAGCAGGAAGTGAAACCCTGAGGATGTTCTGAGCAGAGCAAGCCAGAAGGACAGGTCCGCCCCAGCCCTGCTTTGCTGGAGCTCCAGGGTCAGCGGTGGCCACACAGGAGGGGGAGGCGGCAGTGCTGAGGGGACGCTGAACTTCTGTGGGAGAGGGGTCTCTGGAGACCACAGAGGAGCATGGGTGGCAGGGGTGGGCGTATTTAATGTCAGTGGGCTCGTCAACATTGCTGCCGCAATGCGTGTTTTCTTCTGTAGTTATTTACCAGTCAAAACCAAGTTAAATTGACGAGGCTGAGATGCCCTCCCCGGCCACCAGCCTCCTGGGCCGTATGAGCAGCAGGTGGTGGGGTGCTCTGGACCTTGTGCTCATCTGCAGGGCAGGTGTTGCCGCTGCCCCGGTGTTTCCTGGGACCGGTGGGCGCAGCTGTGTGCTGTGTCTGTAAATGCCACCTGGGCAGCCAGTCATCGGTGAGACCCGCATGCTCTCAGCCTGGGGACATGTTCGGAGCCAACTATTAATGATTAAAACATTTAACCCATTTGCTTTTTAGAGGAATCGGGGGAGGGGAAGCTTGTTGGCTGAGACACTCGTGTGTAATTGTTAACAATCGTCTGGGCCACAGTTACCGCACGGTGTGGTGCTGATGTGGGACAGACATGCAGATCAGGAGGACTGAGAGTGCAGAAGCAAGCCTGCACCTTCATGGTCAGCCCGACAGCACGCAGGGAGAAGGGAATTGTCCGCAGATGAGGCCGGAAACGCCGCTTTCCATATGCACTGAGATGAGGGAGGACCTTTGTCTCACACCAGACACAGAACATGTCTGCGTGGGTGAATTCAGTGTAAGAATGAAAAAGAAAACCCTACTGCTCTTAGACTGAACTTACGAGCAAGTCTTGTACTCATGACCGTGAGCTTGTGTCCGCTGCCTCAGCCCTTCCTGGTAGAGAACATGGGGCACTGAGCTGACGAAGTCCTCAGGGCCATCCCTGTGTCTGTGTGCGCCGGCGAAGTCCTCAGGGCCATGTGTCTGTGTGCGCCGGCGAAGTCCTCAGGGCCATGTGCCTGTGTGCGCCGGCGAAGTCCTCAGGGCCATCCCTGTGTCTGTGTGCGCCGGCGAAGTCCTCAGGGCCATGTGTCTGTGTGTGCCGGCGAAGTCCTCAGGGCCATCCCTGTGTCTGTGTGTGCTGCCTCAGCCTCTCCTAGCAGAGCTCATCACAGGCAGAGATACGGCATGATCTTGTTTCTTTTTCTGTTTTATGGTTTACCTCAAAATTTATAGAGTGAGCTTTCTGTTTAACAGTATTTTTGTATTTGTGACACTAGTTGTAATCCCCTCAGTGTAATAGCACTTTGCCCTCTCCCTCCCTGGGTTTCCATCTTCCCTTCTTCCTGGTCCCAGGAAAGGGGGTGCTCAGCGGGACCCACGTTGTGCATGCATTCTAGGCATGGAGTGCCTTTCCCAGTGAGAGATGGTGGGAACCCTCCTAGACACCACCTTCTCAAGCACAAGCCACAGACCTGCCCAGCAGACAGGCCCCTTTGCAGAACGCACCCCAGGCCAGCTGTGCTGACTTCCCTCTGTGCCCGGGTCCGTCACCCTAGCCAGTGTAGAGCACAGAGCGGGGAGGTAGTGGAAAGCTGTGAGGGCTGATTTGGTTTGGGGGATGGTGCTCCCCAGGCTGATGGCTCTGCCCCCTCTCCTGTCACTCACTGTGCATGGGGACTTCACCTCAGCCAGGTCAGAGAGGGGAGGAATTGGGGAGCAGTGGGTAAGCTTTGAATGGTGCTCCCCAGGCTGAGGGCTCTGCCCCTTCTGTTACTCTCTGCAGTGTGGGGCTGCCTTCCAGGAAGATGACGTCATCGTGCTCAATGGCACCAAGGAAGACGTGGAACGGCTGAAGACGCGGATGGAGGAGAGAAGACAGAAAGCCAAGCTGGGCAAGGTACTGTGTGGGGTCCACTGCCTCTCGGGTAAGGTACTGTGGGGTCCACTGCCTCTTGGTTCCTCCTGTCCTGACCTCCCCAAAGCCCGAGTCGTGGGGACTCAAGTCAGGCCCACACGGGGAAGCTGATGTGGTGAGGACCAAAGCAGATAAACACTTGACATGTCAGAAAGTGCGTACCTGCCCCAAGGACCCAGCACCGGGGGGCCTCGAGCGGACACTTAGTGGAGTGGGTCTGAGAGGCCGGAAGGCCATGGTTTGCAGTCACATGGCTCATGGCCACGTGGTGACAGTGACCGAGCTGGGCTGTGGGTCTGCGTCATCAGCGTGCTGCAGTGGAGGGGATGTGACTGATGTCTGGAGCCGTGGGATGCGAGGAACCTGTGCGCAGCCTTTGTAACCTCCAGAGAGGCTGCGTGTTGTGTGTTTATGATAAAACGGTGTCTGGAGGGCTGAAGTGCCACACAGTCATGTTGTGTTGTGTCAAGAGCACACACGTGTCTTGGCCCCTGTGGACTTCCTGAGTCACTGCCTTCACTGCTGTGAGTGAGAAAGGGAGAGGCAAGCCTGAGGTCTTCACGAAGAACCGTGTGCAGAGGTCGGTGCAGGCTCTTCACTGAACCACTGGCAAGCTCGCTTCTGAAATCACAGGCTCGTTCACGTGGCCGCTGGAGTGCCTGCCCTCGGCACCGTGTTCGTGAGGATGTCGCTGTGGGTCAGAGTGACAGCGGCAGCTCGAGAGGTTAGATGGGAAGCAGAGAAAGTCAACCCAGAGGAGGGGAGAGCGGCCCAGCGAGACATGTCCCCATCTCGCGCATGAAGAAGTGCTGGATGGATACAGGGTTTGCATTTATCTTCCCAATTATCAACTGAAGAAAATGTAAAAATAAAACACAGGCAGCTCTGGTGGCCTACTGGCAAGTAGCTGCATTACAATCTCAGAGGTATGTGGTTCAAATCCTCTAGATTGCTGGAGAAGGAGGGGCAATCTCCTCCTATACCAGTCAGATCCTTTTTGACAGTACACACACAAAAAATAAGAAAAAAACTTAAAAAAAACCCCAAACAAACATGAAAGGGCAAAACCATAGCACTGTTAGGGTTCCTGTAATCCCTCACCGTCTTCTTTGGTGACTTTTCTCTTGTCCCAGGCTTTGTGCCAAGGCCCCCAAAGCCCAGTGGAGTGCGCGCGCCCCCTCTCAGAGCACAGCACTCACAGAGCTTCGGGGATTGTCTCTTAGCTACTGCTGCCAGGATACGAAATATTTCCCAAATACGCCTGGCTGGGAGCGCACTGCTGGCCGTGTGTTCAAGTATGGTCACCCTCATTTCTGAAGGACCGGTGGTTTCCCTCCCCTCCCACGTTCAGGGAGGCTCTCGAGAGGTGAACAGAGGGATTGTGTGTTTTATTCAGACTAAAGTACAAGGCAGCTGCACAGGTTCAAGGCAGGGAGCAGGGTCTCCCACCTGCCTGTGGGGGAGGGGGCTGCTTGGGGGGGTCCTCTAGTCTGTGTCTCTGGCATCACCTTCTGGGGTCTAAGGAGAACGACAGCTTTGAAGTGACCTCTGAGAACCTTGTTCCTTCTCTGTGACTGACCGGACCTTGTGTACTGTTAGGTTTTGAGGAACGAAGCCTTTTTAGTTTCTTGTGGTTGAGCTGTTAGAAATAACTGTTGTAAGTGACAAGATTCTAGTGCCTGAAATTTAAAACTCTTAACAAGAGTGGTGAGTGGCTCAAGTTGTGAGATGGCTGTGGCCAAGGTTTTCAGTGCACAGTGAGTGTGGACACACATTGAAGCCGTGTGGCCCGCTGTCGAGGAGTCTCTGGGCTGGTAAGGTTGTGTGCCCCGGCCCTGTGCTCTGCTGTCTGCAGGCCCCCGTGTCCCCGTCTGTACAGGCCCCATCTGTGCCTGTTGTCTGCACGTTCCCATCTCCGTCCCCATCTCTCTGTGTGTCCCTGTCTCCCCACATCTCCGTCGTGCTCCCCCAGTACATGGCCCTGTGGCCCCGTCTGTGCACCCAGCCACCGTGCTCTTAGCTACTCTCGGAGCTGTCCCTGTGAACATTGTTCCCACTGAGACCTGCCACCTCCACTTAACTGCTTGAGAGTCACTTTAAGAACACGAGTCTAACGCAATGCCAGTCCCTGCAGAGGGCATTCCTCCTCGTAGTGGTTGACGAGCAGCCCGAGGGCACGTGGGTCATGGAGTCCTCCTCGTGTGACCACTGCATCCCAGAGTGAGGGTCAGCGTTTGTGGCCTGTGAGCCTTGCCTTAGGGAGTGGCTGCCTGTGTCTCCTTCAGCCTGATGCAGGGTCAGGCTGGGACCACATCTCCAGGGCCTTCGGTCTGAGGGGAGTCGGGGTCAGGCTGTGACCAGACCTCCAGGGCCCTCGGTCTTACGGGGAGTCGGGGTCAGGCTGTGACCAGACCTCAGCCTGACATGGAGCTGGGGGTCAGGCTGTGACCAGATCTCCAGGGCCGTTGGCCTGATGGGGTTCAGGAGGTCAGGCTGCGACCAGACCTCAGTCTGATGGGGAGCCAGGGATCAGGTTATGACCAGACCTCCAGGGCCCTCGGCGTTCCCTGACTGCTGTTCTCTTTTACAGAAAACAAAGAAACCCAAAGCGACAGAAACAGCCTCAAAGTCTGATGTTCCTGAAGGTAAGAGGCAGAGAGGATGTACTTACTTTATTTGTTGAACTGTCTGGGAACTAGCTCTTGCCTGGATCAGAGGCCAAACAAGGACACATATGGTTCAAGCGTTGGCTCTGGAAAATTCCAGAAGCTGAGGAGTGCACCTTGGGTGCCTGGGCCATCCATGGAGGATGCGGCCTTTCCACAGGAAGCTCTGGCTTTAGAAGCGAGGCTGGGCAGTATGCTTACCATTTTATCTCTCTTCTGTGTTCCTGGCACAGAACCCGCGGGGCCGTCCGACGTTAAGACGAGAAAGCCCGGGGAACCCAGCCTTGACTCTCGAGAGAAGATAGGCAGCTCGGCGCCCAAGAGCACAGGTGGGTCTGCTGAGAACGGCCTGGAGAGCGGGACCCTGACGCTCCCAGGGCCAGGCTTACCATTGTCCTGCTTGTCTGCTCTGTCTTGTCCTGCCTGTGCTTCAGGTGCCATGTCTAAGAGTCCTCTGTTGTAAAAGGCCTAGAAGGCCACCCCTGTGTTTTTCATACTTGGACTTAAGTCATTGGTCTAGTTTTCTTTCATTTTCATGCATGGTGTGAGTTATGGCCGTGGGTCACCTTATATGTGTGGGCTTATTTCTAGAATCTCAGTTTGGTTCCATTGGTCTGTGTATCTGTAGACACACAATTACCACACAGTTTTGATGATTGTAGCTTTTTAGTGTGGTTGAAATCAGAGAGGCTCAGGATATCTGGCAGGACTGGCTTTGATCTCCCTAAGGTTGGGGACTGTAAGTGCACCCACACAGCACTCTTTTAGCGTCCCACTCCTAGCGGCCTATTGGCCACCTGTCAAAGAGTAGTTTTTAATGCATTTCTCTCTTTAATTCAAAGAAAATAGTATTTACTTCCGGAAACAAAACATGGCATCTTGGGTAAGAGTGTACCTCCGGGTCGTGTGTCGTAGTTGTTGTTTGCCTTCGAGGTACAGCTGACCCACAGCTGACTGTCCAGCAGGCTTCCAGAGGCAGGTGTCCCACGGGAGGAGATGGCCCTTCCTTCCCTGCAGAGCAGCTCACTGATTCGAACCACACACCTTCCAGTTGGCAGCGCTTGTGCTTAGTCTCGTACAGATTGGAAGGAACCTCATGGCTCAGTGATAAGCATTGGCCGCTAACTGAAAGGCTGGCAGTACAGCTGACCAGCAGCCCCACGGGAGAGAGCCTGTCTGCTCCCCTGGAGGTCCGGGCCCAGGAAACCCTCCTGGCCACTTGTGCTCTGTTGTGGCGGGTCACATGACTCAGAGGCGACACCAGAAAACAGCATTGCTGTGACTGTTACAAATGTTGACACGTGAGAGGACGCTTGTCACCATCTGTGCCTAGACAGTCGCATGTGCACCCCCTCTGAAAACGGGATGTTTGGAGTGACGAGTGACCTTTGACTTCTATTTCCAGCCACCAGTGGGATCATTCCTGGGAAATCCACCAAGAGATCTATCGCCGACAGCGAGGAGTCTGAGGCCTACAAGTCGCTCTTCACCACCCACAGCTCTGCCAAGCGCTCCAAGGAGGAGTCGGCCCACTGGGTCACCCACACCTCCTACTGCTTCTGAGTTCCCTTCCCCCCAAGGAGCCCCTCGGTCCCTGTGTCACCCACACCTCCTACTGCTTCTGACCGCCCCCCCCAAGGGGACCCTTGGTCCCCTTGGGGCAGGTTACTCCAGTCTCTGTGGACCTGTGTCAACTGGTGTTCCACTGAAGATTGTCCTCAAACCTCACAACCGCCACGGTCCCTTCTGCTACCCAGGCGGGCAGTGGCTTTGGGGGTGCACGTCCTGTCTCCCCACTTCCAGGTGGAGGTGCACTGGGCTCTAGGAGGAGGCTGGAGGCTGCGCTTTCTCTGCTTGAAATCATTAAAGACCCACATTGCTCACAGCTGTGTTGCCTCTTGGTGATTAAATTGTGTGGGTTTTGCTGCCAGCAGTAAGTTCAACGGTGGTTGTAGCACGCCGTCAGGTCAGAACCAGCTCGTGACCGAGCTTCTGGCAGGTTTGCGGAGGCTGTAAATCCCAGAGGGTGATTGCCCGGCTTACCAGTAGGCCTCCAGTGGTAGGTGGACAGTCGTGCAGGTGAACTAGCCTTGGAGAGGTCAGTTTTCCCTGCATGGTGACTGCTGCTGGGGTCTGTCATGAGCACCCGCCCTCTGCACCCCCAGAAGAGCCGTGACCCTGTGTTTGTGGTGCTTAGGGGGGTTGCCTCATACCCATTTAAAGTTGGGGGACACCGCGGCTCAGCCTCTGCGGGCTTCTGTAACAGGAGCAATGTGCCGCTTTAAGACTCCACCTCCGCTGTACACGTCACAGTGGCCAGCCCAGGGCCCTCTGTGACATCACCAGTGGGCCACCCTCAGCGCCCAGTGTCCTGGTGTCCAGGGCACCATGAGCAACTTCCTCCGTCTTCTCTGCTCACCATGCGGACGCGGAAATGGCTCTGGCTTCTGCCCCTCTGGCTCTCCTGCAGCTATGCCTTTATGTTTTTTTCTCTGAGGGAGAAAGGCACAGAGCCCCAGAACAAGGCATCTTGTGGGGAGCACTTCCGGAAGAGGCTGGACCTCGCTGAGCCCTCCCGAGGCTGGCTCAAGAGCACCTGGTTCTGGCTCCTGGTCCTTGTTGTGCTCTACGCGGTCCTGAAGCTGCGAGGAGAGGGGAAGAGAAGCGAGGTGAGCGGAGCTGCTGTCCTCAGCACCCTGTGTGCGCGGTCAGAAAGCTCAGCTCGGGAGGCGCTGCCCAGTCCAGTCGGAAATCTCAGCTCAGAGAGCAGGAGGCCCAGTCCGGGGGTAGGGGTGGGCAGGGGCCCGCTGCTGTCCTCAGCACCCTGTGCGCACCGTCAGAAAGCTCAGCTCGGGAGGCGCTGCCCAGTCCCTCCGAGCTGTGCCAGAGAGCAGCGTACGGCCAGGGCACTGGCTCAGGGCCCTGGGCCAATGGCAGCAAGATCATTCCCTGACACTTCTCTGGTGAAACCAGCCCGCCCTGGATCCACAGGGCAGAACAAGGAGTTGACAGTGACCCTCTCTCTAAGGGATGGACTGGGCTGGGCCTTGACTCGTTCTCTTACGTGAGGTCGGGGGCGCCTTCATATGAGGAGTGAACCAGGAGCTGGATGTACTTCATCTATTCACAAAGCTCCGTCCCCAGTCTCTGACTCCCGCATTCCCCTCCCGAGCCACTTACTAAGAGGTGCTGGCTAGATGGAAATGGAGTCGTTTCTCCGAATAAGGGAGATATGAACCTATAGTAAAAGGATGATGTTGTAAAACAGTACCTTGTCCCCAGAGAGACCCGAGAGTCCTCGGCACAGTGATCTCCCAGACAGACATGACACCTCGGGACTTGGTCCCACCTGCTTGGAGCAGAAGTCAGCAGAGGCCTGTGGAGGGCCGGCTCGCAAGTGCTGTCAGCTTTTCACACCCTGCTGTGTCTCTGGGCCACTCCACCATCTGAACCGGAAAGCCATTGACACCAAGTAAATGAGCGTGGCTGGGCGGCAATAAAGCTTCATGTACGGAAAATAGGGAGCAGGCCGGGTTTGGCCAGTTTCCCCATCACTGGCCTGGTGCGATGCTGCTGCCGGTGCCTCCTCTGGAGGGACCCTCACCTGTCACTGGCAGCACCATCACCGGCCTCACCCTCACTCTCTCTTGACAGGGTCAGAATCCTTCCGGCCTTCAGAGCTGTTCATTTCGCTCTGCGCTCAGGAAAAGCCATGGCGTTTCCCCCGCCCAGGAGTGTGTCTTCAACACCCTAAACCAGCTCGAGGTGGACCTTGTGAAATTCGTGTCCCGAGTACGGAGCCTGAAATTCGCCATGTCAACGAGCAACAGTCTCAACCTGCAGAACATAGACCTGCCCGTCAGCGCCCGCAATATTACCATCTATGAGATCCACGAAGAGGACTCCGAGTGAGGGGCTCGTGTTCAGCCCAGGAGGCGAGTTGGGTGCTGTTAACTGTTAACACAGAGCTGTTGTGAAGAAAGTTTCCTCGTTAGAGACCTTCCTGTTTCCCTTTCTACCTAGAATTAAAGATGAACGTGACCTTAGTAGCCTGCCACGTCCTGGTTTCCTTGTAGCCTTTCCTGAGTCCTCTGCATCTTTGGGTGGTGAGGGCGGTGTAAGGGGACGTGCGTGTCGTTAGGAGCTGGCATGGGTGCAGCTGCATGGACACTGCCCTGTACCAGCTGCACGATGGTGACTGTGTGGGAACCCAGTGGAAAACCACAGAGGGTGTCGTGGTCCCTGTGGGTGGAAGGCATGGGAATGGGAGATGTAATTATTACTGAAACTCTTCCCCCCACACTAGTTTATTTACAAAATTCAAATACAACTTTGAACAAATTCTTTACATTTCTCTCACACCCCCCACCCATCAAATTTTACAACGCAATGATTAATCCCCTCTTCCCCCCGCACATCCACATCCATCTGCTCCAGCCTCTCCCACCCCTCCTGGATCCTAATACTCATTTTACAATAATGATTTTATACACTATTTATCTTTCTGTGAAAAGAACCCATTTTTTGTTTTTTATTTTTAATTGGGTGTACCATCGAATTGGATCTGACAGGCACAGGAGGTTTGCTCCTCCTCCTCTGACGGAGCCTCTGGTGGATTCGAGCCATGCACCTTTAAGATTGCAGTGCAGAATTTTTACTGAAACTCTTTGTTTGCTTTATAGTTACTTGTGTTAAGCGGGAGGGGGAATTTCTTTTTACTTTATGAATTCATTACAAAGGGCCACGATGACATCTGGGCATCAAGAAAACAAAGGTCATGGTCCTCGTTGCCGTTCCTGTAAGGGCTGCTTGCGGGGAGGCATCACGTGGAACCTGTCAGCTTCAGCATCCGGAACTCCGCGTATACACCCCGTTTCTTTGGAACCATCAGCCTTCAAGACCCCGTAACCGCAGGATCCCAGCATCATGGCTTCAGTTGCCTCACAGCTGCTGTTGTCCTCGTGTCCCTGCTGGTGGTGCTGCCTGTCGCTGAAGCAAGAGATGTCTTTGCCCTCTTGTCAGGCCTGGTTCTCAGTCAGAGGGGTTTGCGTTTGTTTAGGGGTGTATGCACGAAAGAGAAATGCAGATGTGACTGGGGAGGGCGTCCTGAATCATGCCTCACCCTGCAAACGCTGTCACTCGCAGTGGAAGTTAGAGCTGGCCTCTGATCTCCAAAAATTCCTAAGAAACTGGATAATAAATGCAACGGCTTCCCTCCTTAAATGTTTGCCTCTGGCTGGGAGCAGATTAATGTAAGTTAACGGGGAATGATGTTTCCTTCACATCTGAAATGAAGGCTATAGTTTGCATTTGCTGATCAGAAAGGAGGGGCAATAAATGATTAAAGCAAATGAGATGACGAGGAAGGGGTCCCAGAAGGGGACCCGGGGCCAGGAGCCCAGGAATCTGCCCTTGTTTAGGTAGAACGGCTGCTGCCTCTTGGCACATGGAGGACTCTCCACATTTTTATTGGGTTTGCGTCCTGGTACCTAATTCCTGTTGTACGTCTCTATGAACTCACTCCCAGCCTTTGAGACAGTTCCGGTTTCACCAGGCTGTCAATCCTGCGGGGAGGAGATGGCCTGTCTTTTCCCCAGGGAGAGAGGCTGTTGGATTCGAACCACAGGAGACAAGACTGCCGAGTTCACTGCGAAACCCCCCACCACTAAAGTCACCAGAGCTGGGTGGAATGTCATCAAATATGGAAACCTTAATTTCTTTGGAAGAAAAACGCTTAGAAAATTTATACAATATATCTAATATTAGAATGGAGAAAAAAAGTTGAAGACTATATTGAAATAGAAAAAAGACTTATTTAAAATTTACAAACGCTTTCTAAGGGTTAATACACGCATGGTGAAAAATACTATATTCAATATAAAGCCATTATGTTGAGGGGTTACAAAACAAAGTTCCTCACTACAGGACCAACAGTCTACACTATAATAACTACAGAAAGGATTGAAACTGTCAATGATTCCATCTTGCTTGACTCAACAATAAATACCCGAGAGGAAGACCCTCTATGAGGTGGATTGATTCAGTGACTGATGTAATCAGGATGGGTGTGTCGGAGACAGTGAGATTGGCACAGGACAGAACAGAATTTAGGTCTGTTGTACGTAGGGTCGCTATGAGTCGCAAGCGACTCAACGGCACATAACCACCACCACCACCAGCAATCAGGAAATCAAGAGACATTGCATTGGGCAAGTTCACTCACTGGCAGGGACCTCTCCAAAATACTGAAGAGCAATGATGTCAGTTGAACACTAACTAAGGTGCTCCTGATTCAGGCCATGGTCTTCTTGATCACCTGCTATGCATCAGAGAGCTAGACAATGAATAAGGATGACGGAAGAAGAATTTTTGAGTTGTGGTTCTAGAGGAAAGTACTGAATATCCCATGGGCTGCCGAAAGGACAGACAGATAGGTCTTGGTGAAAGTGCCGCCGTAGTGTTCCTCAGAGGCAAAGATGGAGACTTTGGACACGTAGCTACATGAGGCCATTCCTTTTTCTTTTGTACTTTTAAATGATTGGGGAGTGGGAATTTAAATAATTATGTTTCATAACATGAAAATCCTAAGAAAGTTACATTTTCTTGGAGGACAATAAATATGCTGAGTGAAATATCTCAGTCACAAAAGCAAAAATACTGAATATAACACCATTGTTTACAACAGGCCCGATATGTGGGTTGGGGGGAAACCGAGAAGAGAGTAAGGAACACTAGGTTGGAACTGATGGGGGAAAGAACTGTTTAAAAGGAATATATGACTAGGCATTATGTCCAGAGTTGAGAGGTGCACAGACAGCAAGTGAACTGGGGGAAAGGAAGAAACCATGCAACAATGAAGGAATGAAAGTCCAGCTATTCTATACACGTTCATTAAAATCGCAATTAAAAGGGGGGAAATCCCATTTATTCCTTGGAGAGGGACATCCAGCTTAAAAAGATGGAGGGTTATCCACTGGAGGGTCAGATTTGCTGGAGGATCTGAACCAACTGCCTTAAGGTAGCAGTACAACTCTTTGTAATGACACCGCAAGAATTCCCTACAGAAGGGAAAGAAGTAGCTATTTCAAGTCAGCAACGGTACAGCCAAAGAGAAATTAGTTCAGCATGCAAACCAGAGTTAAGATTCATTACATACTTGGACATATATATATGTTGGAAAAGAAGCTGAATAAATAAAACATAAACATTGCTAAAAAAAAAAAAAGATGGAGGGTCAGCGAAGGAGAGGCAGACCCCAAACCAGGTGATTGACACAGTGACTTCAGCTGTGGACTCTGGTGTGTCAGAGGTGATGAGAGAACAGGATATGTAGGGTGGAGTTCAGGCCAGCTGTTCATAGGATCGCTGAGTCATACTCCTCTCAATGATACCTCACAACAAACTGTACACTTGTACTAGACACAGTCATTCCTGTTCACTGCTGTCTTCGGCAGCTTGCGGGCCACTAGGGCAGAGCTCTGTCCCCAGGAGCCTTCAGGTGCTTCTGACCCTCCCTGGGGTTTCGGAGGCTGGGATCGTCCCACAAGGAGACTCTGCTCGCAGAGTGTCTGACAGCTCAAACAGCCGAACATTCATTTCCTCTGACACAGTAGACACCGCACCACGGGCTGTGGCTCAAATCCCAGCGTCCATGAGAACATATTTATTGGAACTCAGCCATGTGGCCTATGGTGGCTTCTGTGCTCCAAGCACAGCATTGGTTAGCTCTGAGCTGACCTCTCTGACTCCCAGAAGCAAAACTGTTCCTTCCCCGACCTTTCGCAGGAAGTCTGATGACCCCTGGCTTGTGCCACTTTGACCTGCTTGTTTGCAGGAAGTCTGATGACCCCTGGCTTGTGCCAGTTTGACCTGCTTGTACGCTAACATCCAGGAAGCGTCCGTTCAGAGCAGAGGTGTTCAGCTGTAATCTTGACAACATCGCCTGCTATTTCTCTGACAGCGTAACTGGTAGACACGCTGTTTCTGTGTCTGCTTCTGTTTGAACACTAGCAAGCGGACATGGTATCAGGGAAGAGCGAAGCCTCAGAACTCCTCAGAGCAAGTTGGCCAAGGAGAGGAAACAGAACAAGAGCTGCCCTTCATTTCTGCTTAGCAGTTCCGTGAAACAGCGTCCCCTGCGTCCGTGGCCCAGTGCAAAGCTCTGCAGACCACCGCTTTACCCTGAGAGTCACCTTTTCTTGACGCAGCTTGTCCGTCTTCATGGAGAAATGCCCTGGCCGTGAACCTAGAAGGTGGAACGTAGCAGAGTGCTCGGCGGCGGCTGCATGGGCGCTGGGTTCTCATTTCAGCATCCAGGGAGGTGACCAGGACCCATCACTACAGATCCTGAGCTGGGGTGGAGCTGCAGGGAAACAGACTACCGCAGTCAGAGTCATTCGATTTGACACACTGTGTATAAAGGAGGAAGTGGGGTGGACAAGGAGGGCCTGCAGGCTCCCCAGTTCTGCCAGAGACACTGCCAAGCCCTGCTAGCTTAGTGGGAAGGAGCTGCCCTGTTGGCCCAAAGGCAGGCAGTTCAAGTCCACTGGCTGCTGTGTAGGAGAAAGATCTGTGTGATTTACAGCCTCTGAAAAGCCATCGGTGGGTCAGCTGTAAGTAGGTCCTTGCTTTGTGGCCTATAACAACAACGACGCCCGAAACACTTACAAACTGCGTTACTGTGAAACAGATACACAGAGGCCAGATCAAGATTAAGGTAGCATTTGGGGCCCCCTCTCCCCCAACTAATCAGCTAAAAAGGGGGCTCTGGAGGCCTAAGAATCCCCAAAGGCACACAGTTCGAATCCACCAGCTGCTCTGTGGGAGGAGGATGGACAAGCCCTTCCCATGGAGACCACTCTGAAAGCCCGCTGGCGGGTCAGTCATGGGGCACTTCTGACTTCGCTGGTGCT